TCGGATCTATCTTTAGTTAGCGAGAAATTCAAAATAGAGGATGACTATATTTGGATATAATCATTTAAAGAACCGGTTGAAGGTTACTTTAAAATAGAAAAACTCTATTCCTAAAAATTAGGAAGGATATGGAGAATCTCTTAGAGTTGTTATAATGGTAGTTAAATTTGACCCCTAGGATCTATGTTTTGTTTAGACCCAATTCACATAATCCCCCCCCCCCTCTTGGGTGCTGACAGAACCTAGTTGCGTCCATAAAAATCTACAATTTTGCCTTGCCAAAACAAAAAAGGTCTTGCTTCAAAATGGGAAATATTTTTTGGTCACATAACCATTATTGAACGAAGATTATTACTCTGCTGACACAATTGACCAAAGCCAAAACTATAAATATGTTTTTTTATAGCTGTGGTGTGTGCTCCAAGTTTACTTTTACACAGCTCATCTCTCAGACCGGAATAAAATTGATGGGGAAGGCTACCGCCGTCAGCACACGCTAAAAACATATGGACTAGTGCATATGATGGGAAATCATTTCTACTACCAGACGTACCTACACCAATCCTATAACCAGTATGGGTATGGCCCCAATCCTATAACCAGATGGGTATGGCCGAGCAGGTATTAAGCTTGTCGTTTTATATCGGGTGACCCCAATATGGTACTGAACCAGGCTAAATTAATGTAAGCACAGCAATTAATGTAAGCACAGCAGCTGAACAATGTCAATTTTGTACCCGTGCAATTAATGTAAGCATGATCATACTAGACACCTATCCTAACATCTCCGTGCAGTTCTATAGATACATCGAGGATCATATTTTCAAGATGATGAAATTCTTCTCTCCTTAAGCTTTTTTGATGGTGACGATGAAGCGATGATGGATCGCTGGCGCCCAACCTGAGGCTCACCTTCGTAGGATGATGTTCGGCGTTGCTCACTTGTATTAGCTGCTGTGGACCTCCAGAAATACCATAAGCAAATAAGAGCCATCACACTGAACAATGTAACAGCTATCCATATGCCCTTGCTATTGCTAGTGTCATGTACGTGAACCACTTCACTGTCCGCAGAGATGTCCACAGAAGAAATGTTTGTCTTTGTACACTCTGCTTAGAAAAAAATTAAAAAAAAAAGCTATTAGTAGGCACAAATTATTATTACACCCTCTATCCTGAATATAAGGCGCGATTAGACTTGGTGAGGCCACCTATATATAATTTCTCTTATAATATATAATTTATAGGAACAAAAGTTTGATCATTACAAAACATTTCTAAATTCAAGGATCTAATGTAACTACTTTTGTAATACAAACTTTTGATATAATTAGGCTAATTATTAGTCAAAGATAACAAAGTTTTAATTTTGAAATACATGCATGCCTTCAGGGACCAATGGAGTAACTGAGATAGCAAGTATTTTGAGCTTCAAGGAACAACAAATAAGCATGTACCTGCTGAGCAGTCCTCCATATGAAATGTTGACCATTTGGAGATGATATGTCTATCCTTTCCATTGCACAGAATATATGTGGTACCTAGTTCAGGAGGTCCCCATCTTTCTTTCATATAACGGCAAAGGCAACAAGCCCCACTCTCATCACTTGCTGGAACTTGGTCAATTGCATATAGTAAAGCATTGCAGCATGTCTGTGAGGACGAGGATGGCTTCCATACACCGTTTGGTTGCATACATGATAACACGGCAACGCTTGTCAAGTCATAACGACATGTGCCCTCTTCAGATCTTTGTGTATCTGTGGCTGAATAGGCTCCAGATGATGATAGAAGCATTGTGAGCAGCAACACCCACAACCAAGACTTTTGGACTACCAATCAAAACAAAGCAAAAACATGTAATATCAGTATGTTTGTATTTTTTTAGAACACAATGTACTTAGCAATTGGAAAGGGCATGTAACTCAATGACAAAACTGAATGGAAGAATCAAAAGTAAAATAAACTTACGACCTTTTTAGCCATGCAATTTATTGTACAGTTTGAAAAGAATGAGGACATTAACAATGTATTGAATATATCCAATGCAAAAGGTAGTCCAATAAGAAAGAGCGAAACGTACAGCATGTGACATTGGCATTAGGAGTATTTATCTCTGCATCAACAACTGAAACCTTTCTGCGCCTCATTGCCTGCATTGTAGTGATTACTACTCCAAATCATTACACTCTGATGAACAGTAGCAGAAAGATTTACTATAAGATTCCTAGATTTTATGATCTCAAAAATACTGGAAGTTAAAACAAATTTCATCTGAAACTGAAGTTGATGTCACAGCACAATAGCACATACACCTTTTCTTAAAACTTGGCAGCTGTTGTTCCATTCATTTAAACAAACAAAGCATGCTCAAACAAGTTTAAGCACCAAATAAGATAGGGCAAAACCTCCACACAATATGACTATGCATATTTCTCAAGATTTTCTTTGGCAAATGTGCATCACTAAAATAAAGGTAGATTAAGTAGCATTGGCAGATTAAAACTTCTTAGAATATAAAGATAGGAAAAAAAGACAATCCCAGACATACCAGTAAACAAATAGCAAGGGAGAAGATCTCATAGATGAATATTGATCCAATTTACAAGACTTAGTATAGCACAGTTAGCCATAAATTGTTGTACGTGTAGCATAAAGCAGTTGTAAATAAAACTGCACAGCAAGATAATTGGTAGGATCACGTGCACATATATATAACCAAAAAGCGAAGGGGTTGGGGCGTCCGCTTGTCTTACAGCCATTTTAGAAGGGGTAGCCAGATACTCTTGGGAATCAACCGTGCAGTCCATTACCATGTATCCCTGAAAAAAAATTTCGGACAGATTCGAATAATCATTCAGTCATGAATGGGCAATACGCTATTGTGGAAACCGAAGAACAGGAAACGGATCCGAAGGGATGAGCCCCAACCATACGATCGCACAGGAGAAATTTGTTGAAATTTTACAGAGGATCCTTTCAAATTTCTATCAAAGTGTGGGGATGGGATCCACAAAAAGCAAGGCGCAGACGGGAACCAACCAAAACTGCGACGAGCAAATTGGGGGTAGCGAAGCACACAGTGACACAGCACACACCCGGACACCCCACCCCACCCCAGCGACCCACAAAATGATTCAACTAGAGCGACAGTGCTTTCCCGCCATGGATCGCCCAGCGCAGAAGCCCCTCGTTGCTGCGGCGCGACGATCGCCGACCCGACGTTGCTTCTCCGGGAAGCAACCGCCTTCATCGCCGCGCCTCGGCGACGCCGCGGGTTTAAAGCAAGGGGAGAAGCAGGGTTTAGAAGAGACATCCGGCGACACTGGTCACTAGCCCAGTTGCCACTGATAAGCCAAAGTGAAAGCAGAGTGAACGTGGGCCGAGTGAGGCCGAATTGGCCCGTCAACAAAAACAGTCACCAGCCTATTAAACCGGACGATTGTTGAACTCAATTTTTTAAAACCCTTTCATTTTTTCTGCACGAAGTTTTTAGAATTTTGGTTTGAAAAAAGTTTTTAGAAAATTAGTTTACTAGAAGTATACACGTGCGTTCCTATGGGTGAACACCTGTTTTTAATCTGACAAGCCTACAAACAATATTGTGTCTCTTGGCCTTAGGAGCATCTCCATAAGTTTCCAAAATCCAGTCTTAATCTTTTTTTTGTAAGATTGAAAAAAAAGGTTTCTAACAGCTTTATATCTCAGCTCCCAATCTTTCCGCACCTGAGAAGCACCTGAGAAAACCGACCCAATCGTACGGAAATACAAGTGCGCATATCGATCTGCCAATATAGAGGTGTAGGACATGGTGAAAAATAAAGAGTAAGATACTTGAAAATATGTAAGAAAGAAAGAAAGTATAAAAATGGCTTCATAATTTTCAAGCTAAAACATTTTTTTCTAAAATTCAGATTTCATTATTTTAATTGCATAACTTTTTTTGGAAAAGATATTGATCAAACAACTTTTTGTTAAAATGTATTTGTAGTCTGATTTCCCTCCTAAAGTACCAATGGATTCTGATTTACTTCCTCAATGGCTGACGTAGTGTCACGTAGGATGGTTGATGTGGTGCCATGTCGGACAGAACAGCCCCAAACTGTAAAAACAAATGGTTTTTAAAGTTGAGGAGGGCCAAAATCCAATTGCATATATGAGGGTGGAAAATCAAACTTTATGAATAGTTGAGGGGTAAAAAAGGATTGATTTATCCGTATAGCCCCGTTCGCTTGTCTTAAATTCAGCCGGAGCAGTATTTTTCAGCCAGTTTCAGCCAAAGTTCAGACCAGTGAACGGGGCCAAGCAAATACTCTGTATGTTATGGGTACTCCCTTAGTTTTAAATTATAAATCACTTTAGTTTCACAAATGCATCGACTTATAATTGGAAGGGAGAGATCAGTCCTGATTATGAGTCCTATTTAAATATAAGCCGGCAATAAAATCCCCAGTCCCGACATGTACGTACAAATGCATGACGATGCTGTGAGTAACAATAAAGCTAGGTTAGGTGGTGATACCGTTTCTCATGAAAGTGTGAGCATTGTCCAAATTAATTAAATTGCGGTTCATCGCCCTTACTACTAATTGAAGGGCACACTACATGCTCTTAGAGTGTAGCTTCTTGAAGCCCAAACATATGCAGCCTGCCGTGCACACTGCACACACTACCTTACAAGCAAATACTACTGATTTTTCCCGAAATGGAATTTATACCGGTGCTTGTCATGGTGTTGCTTGCTCTAAGCTATATGGTCGGACCGTGCAACTGCACTGGAGTATGCTCGCCAGCGACGTACGGTAATCTCTCTTCATTCATCTGCACTAGATTATATATGCCAACCTTGTCTTCATGATCCTTCATGTTTCTGTTTTCTTTTCATTTCTTTTTTATTTCTGTGATTGTTCATTTTGTCCATGGATGTAGTACATTGCAAATAGACTTTACTCCTATATTTTCTTCATGTTTTTAAATTTTGATTTTGATCCTACACCCCAATGGATGCATGCTCAGAGTCTCGGCAGAGGAAAGATGGCGCCTTCCACTTCCCTGTGTTCCACAGGAAGCACCCGTGTGTTGACGAAGACCCATCGACGATCCACGCAGCAAGCGTATCAGACGCAGGCACCGTGATTGGGAACGACAAGATCCATCAAGGCAAGTACTTCATGGCCATCAGGCTGGGCACCCCTGCCGTCTTCAACCTCGTCACCATCGACACCGGCTCCACCCTCTCCTGGGTCAACTGCAAGAGGTGTCGGATACGGTGCCACGAGCAGGCGGCCGAAGCTGGCCCCAAGCTGGACCCTCACCGCTCCGCCACGTACCGTCACGTCGGCTGCTCCGACGAGGACTGCCTCGACATCCAGGCCGACAACGGCGTCCCCTACGGCTGCGTCGACGAGACGGACACCTGCCTCTACGGCCTGCGCTACGGGTCGCAGTACTCGGCGGGGAAGCTCGGGAGGGACAGGCTCGCCCTGGGCGACAACTACACCATCGTCGACGACTTCGTCTTCGGGTGCAGCGAGGACGACATGTTCTACGGCCTCGAGGCGGGCGTCATCGGCCTCGGCGACAAGCGTTACTCCTTCTTCAACCAGATGGCACGGCTGACGACCTACAACGCCTTCGCCTACTGCTTTCCCGGCGACCACCGCGCCGAGGGGTTTCTCATCGTCGGGCCGTACCCGCAGAAGCTGGAGCTCGTCACGACATTGATCAGGGGGTACGGGCGTAGGCAGCACGTCTACTCGGTTCTGCTGCTGGGCATCGCCGTCGACGGGAAGCCTCTGGAGGTCGACGGGCGCCAGATCCTGGTGGTCGACTCTGGGACCGATGACACCTTCGTCTCGTCCTCAGTTTTTTATGCTCTCGCCGAGGCGATAGCGTCGGCGATGCAAGATAAGGCGTATTACCGTGAGTACGGTCGGAAGGTCTGCTTCAGGCCTGCCGGCGGCGAGCCGGTGAACTGGAGGAGCTTGCCGACGGTGCAGATGCAGCTCCTAAGGGCTACGCTGGAACTGCCGCCGGAGAATGTGTTCCATCAGCAGTCAACTGATCGCATATGTTTGGCGTTCCAGTCGAATGACGCTGCTGGCGTGCCGGATGTTCAGATTCTAGGGAACAAAGCCCTGAGACCTTTCAGGGTTGTCTATGATCTGCAGAAGATGACCTTTGGCTTCCAAGCCCGGGCGTGTTGAAAGGAGTTGCCTCGGCCATGTACTATTTAAAAGAGATACTTCATATACCGTTCTTAGGCCCTCCACGGTGTTAGTGTTAGCCTAAAATGAAGCTGAGGTCTTGTTTGACACAGCTCAGCTTTACTAGTAAATAAAGTTTAAAATAGCCGGCGGTAGCCGCTGGACAAAGTCACAGCTAAGATACGTCACTTTTAGCGCTAAGAAAAGTAAAACGCTAATAGCCCGAGATAGCTGGAGATTGCGGCTAATTGGGACAAACTTAGCTACCGCTAAACTATGTCAGGCCAGGAAATTGACCAAGCGGCGGCCCACTAAAACGTGTGCCACTGCCGGCCCATTGCTTTGCCCTTCCATCCAGCCCAGGAAAATAACGTAACCCTGGCATCTTCTCATATCTCTGACTCATCTCGTTAGCCCATTGCTTTGCCAACTCTATATAAAAATACTACTCAAAATACTACTCATATGCCATCGAGTCATGCTGTTGTGAGTGTCTAAGCATGAAGATAAGAACAAACTGCATCGGAGTTATTGGTCCCACTAGTAGTGCTATCACGCATTCATGCCGTAGTCTTGGAAGAGTGATGTCCTTTTTTTTAAGCAAACAAATTAGGTGAGGATTATCCGCATGAGCACTGTAGGGACCATACGCAAGACATGTGGATCTCAACTAAATATGGGAGGAGAGAGAATTACAGTAAACTCATGCAGTAGCAGCACAATACGCACAAGATCCATGTAGAATGGTCCATACCCCATTTTTTTCCTTTTTTAACAGTGTAGGACCTATTATTTTTTAAGGACTATTTCATTCACATGCAGCTCCTAAATTTGTCTAGAGTTCTCCTATAACTCCTAATACCTAGGATTTTCATTTCTGACACCCTAAACTTATATTATTGTACCAACCAGGTCCAAACCCTTATCTGACGTCGCCCGAGCACTGATGTGGCTGCCAACGTGGATTGGGCAGGAGGTCCAAACCTTAAACTTGCATTAATGTACTCTTTCTAGGTTTCTCTCTCCACAAACTCCACCGTAGAGCAGCTTCACAAACTTTAGGTTTTAATGGAGCACCTATCTAAGTGCTCTCAGAACTTCATCTTTTTTTCGAACTATATGTGTGGAGCTAAAACCGTTTGAAAAAAAACATAGATGGAAGCTAAAAAATATGGATCGGAGCAGTCCCCACCCCCTAAGTATGCAAGAGTGTAATCTATGACCTATATAGAACCGATTTTATTACAAATACAATGAATATAAGATCTAATAAGCACTAGAAACGCGGATAAACCTAAACAACTAATAAGATCAAAAAGGTTAAGCCCGTCTTGCTACAAAAATGAATGCAACCAAAGACCGGATATAATTTACACTAACATTTAAACTAAATATATATCGAAGATCACATGGTGCAATAAAAAATATGACAATATATATCTTAATATTGTTAACAAGACTTTGTTAACATAGCTTCCACACTAATTTTCACTAAATACATAAGAAAAACATCCTATACAGTCATAATAATTCAAAACATTTGGCCATTAATGAGATTGTTAAGGCCAGTCCAATTGAAGATTTCATCTCACTGTTTTCAAAACTCCCATGTATTGGAAATAGTGTGGAAAAGTTTTATTCCATTAAACTCTTTTCATCATATGAAACTTTTATCATATCTCATCTCTCTATTAATACAATGCCACATCAGCTTATAAAATGCTCATGAAACTCTCATGAAACCCTGATCTGCCATTCACGCTGACTTCAAGCAAAACCAACGAAAAAACACTATTTTGTTTGCACTGCTCAATAATGAATATACAAGACCCTAGTCGACTTTGATGATGAACCTATGTCGATTCCGCCTAGATTCACCCTCTCCCCCCCTATCTAGACATGTGTTGTCAATGTTGTATATATATACGATGAAGAACACATCTTTAACGATGTTTTACCATTGACTGCTTGTCATGAGGGTACCCGGGACGATGATTTGTTTGGAGGGGTATCGGCGTATGCAGGAACTCGATGGTGAACGCAGGGAGACAACGATTTATACTGGTTCGGCATGCCACAAAATCACGGCGCCCTACGTCCAGTCTGGGGTAGATAATATATTACGCGCTGCGCTATCTGTAGTATTCTCTCTATCTTTCTCTATATGATCTCATCTATCTGTTCTCTTATTCTGTTGGGGTCGTATGTTGAGGTTGTACCGATCTAGGGAGCCCTGTCCTCCTTTATATAGTCCAGGAGACAAGAGTCCTAGTCGGTTACAAAGTAGAAGTCCTAATAGGATTACATAATAGCAATGCTACTAGGATTACGTATGGGAAATCCTAGTTGGACTAGATATTCTCTCTTCTATGTGGGCTATCCCGTGGGTCCCGTATCGACAAGCCCCCGAGCATTTCATGGTTGAGCTCCAGGAACTTCCTTGTTCTTTCCGATCTTCATCTTCGAGTTCTTGTATCTATTCTGGGTTCTTCTGCAGTGACTTGAGATGGTCTTCTTTTATTTGGTTGGTTCACCTTGATTGACGTGCACTTTCTCCCCCGAGCCTCTTGCTTTTTGTGATGAAAAAGCTGGAGGGTCCTTTTGGTCTATTCTCTCTGGGTTCTTTCTTTAGTGAGTGTAGCCCCCGAGCCTCTTGCTTCTTGGGCGCCCAGAATCTGTCCTTGAGAAAAAGTTTGGGGGTTTTCTTTTTGAGGATATGTATCATGTAGCCCCTAAGCCTATGTCCGAGTACTTGTAATTACAGATAAGTTTTTGATCCATCTGAGTTGTTTCTGGACTTTTTCGACCCTTGACGCGCTTCATCTGGGTTGTTTCTGAACTTGTTTAATCCTTAATGCACCTTTGTCTGGGCTGTTTTGTTCAATCCGGGTTGCTTCTGCACTTGTCTCATCCTTGACGCACCTCGTCTAGGTTGTTTTTTATCAACCTGGGTTCTTTCTGAACTTTTCTGATTTTTGACGCACAACGTCTTGGTTGTTTTGTTCAATCAAAGTTCTTTCTAAACTTGTCCAATCCTTAACGCACCTCGTCTGGGTTGTTTTTTTATTATCCCGGGTTCTTTCTAAACTTATCTGTAATTTTGATGCACCTCGTCTGGGTTGTTTTTTGATCAACCTGGGTTCTTTCTGAACTTGTCTGATCCTTGACGCATCTTGTCTGGGTTGTTTTTTACCTATCCGGGTTCTTTCTGAACTTGTCTGATCCTTGGCGCACCTCGTCTAGGTTGTTTTTTGACCAGCCTGGGTTCTTTTTGAAATTGTCTGATTTGTTGGTTGAGTAAGGTAGCTCTTGGGAGCGTGTCCTTCCCAATGGCATGGTACAGATGTAGCCCCCGCATGTTAAATTTAAAAATATGCTATAATTGACATTCCAGATAGAAAGTCAGGAGCATGTCCTATATATGAATAAATAATAAGGGGTGGGCCCTGGTACTATGAAATGCATGTAAAAATTTTTACGTCTTGCTCTTGTTAGGCTATGTAAACTCCTCAGGTAACGTCATGTTACGTTTAAGCACCATGGTCCCTGTTATCGCTGCTCATTTATTGAGACTTAGGCATAGAAGAGCCATGGCTTAACAGATTAAGGCATGCGCTACCCAAGTCCTTTAGCGACCGTTAAGAGAAGACTAGTGCAGTCAGCCTGCGTGAAATAAAAAGAATGTGTCGCGTCTTGCTCTTGTTAGGCCATGTAAACTACCTAGCTAGTGTCCTGATACGTTTAAGCACCTTGGTCCCAGTTATCGCTGCTCATTTATCGAGACTTGTGCACAGAAGAGCCGAGGCTTCAAGTATTAAGGCATGCGCTACCCGAGTACTTTAGCGACCGTTAAGAGAAGACTAGAGTGCACGATGCACACCCATTGGGTGTCATCCCGACTACAAGCTCGGAGATGTGGAGTAGTCGTGGATAGTGCGACCACAGAGGCGCACGAAAATTGTTCGGAAATATATTAAAAATTAAAATTTAAAGCATGAATTAGCTTGATTGTAGGCCGAGTTGTCCATCGCCGCAGCTAAGTAGTTGGCGTGGAGTTCAAGTAGTTGGCGTAGCATTCGAGTAGATGGAAGCACCTTGGCTTGATAGCTCGCTTGTCGTTTGATGTAGTCGAACAGCCTGATGCAGTCAAACAGTTTGCTTGTGGCTCGGAGTCGATTGTTTGAGACGTGAAATCCCATCGCAGATTATCGTTGCTGTGAACACAACGAGTTGTCGACGAGAACCGCTGCGAGTTGCCGACGAGGGCCGACGAGTCGTGATCTTGAGGTCCATCGAGCTCTCAAACGCAACGCACCGAAAATCCTTACCTGGCGCGCCAGTTGTCGATGTAGTATTCTCTTTATCTTTCTCTATCTGATCTCTTCTATCTGTTCTCTTGTTCTGTTAGGCTTGTGTGTTGAGGTTGTGCCAATCTAGAAAGCCCTGCCCTTCTTTATATAGTTCAGGAGGCAAGAATCCTAGTCGGTTACAAAGTAGAAGTTCTAATAGGATTACATGATAGCAATGCTACTGGGATTACATATGGGGAATCCTAGTTGGACTATATCTTCTCTCTTCTATGTGGGGTATCCCGCGGGTCCCTCATCGACAATCTTGGACCATGTTTGGTGCGATTAGTTGCTAATAGTTAGCTAACTAATATAGTTTTTAGCTAATACTCCCTATATTCCAAATTATAAGTCGCTTTGATTTTTTTGTTCATCCATTTTTCTATATATCTAAACATATTATTATATTTAGATCCATTGTAAAATGGATATAAAAAAGTCAAAGTGACTTATAATTTCGAACGAAGGAGCATTAGCTAGTTTAGTTGGACCAATGAAATTATTGTTAGTTGGGTATTCCACTAGCAATTAGCTAAACCTTTTTTATCCAAGGAGCTAACTATTAGTTTTATAGACCCAAACGTGGTCTAAAAGCATCTCCAATCGTTCTAAAAAAATACTCCCTCCGTACTCGTAAAACATGTCATTTTG